GTGAATCAAAGAGATTTTGGCAAGGCCATTTGCATGAATTTGATTTTGATAGACAACTCTGTGCTACAGATAAGCCAACACCCTTGGCCAGAAGCACCTCCCTTGCTGCTCAAAGGGGATTGAGACCGGTGAGATCTGGCAAACCTGGTTGCATTGGACTGTCAGATGCTTGGTCTGTCAAGGTCAGTCTTGGTTATGCCAGCCCAACTGTGGGTGTGTATTATCTATATGATTATTACTTAAATGTTGTTTTCAGTCTACTCAAATATGGGTGCCCAGTAAAAATAATGTTTAACAAAATCTGGTTAATAAATAAATAAAAATTCCATTATTTCTTTAGAGAGATACAATTTTTAATATTTTCAAAAAAAATACTTTATATATATATATATATATATTGGATAGTTTTTTATATATATATATATATATATATACACACACACACACACACAAATGCTATGCGTATGCATATGAGATTATAAAATATATATATATATATTTCAAGCTGCTCCTTTCAAATTTCATAAATATCATCATATACTATAAAACTCATGCTACACAAATATCACTATAAACCACAGAAGCAAAGAAAAATAAATTTGATTAGTTTTTGCCAATAGTAGCAAACTAATCAAAGATATGCTCCCTAAGAAAAAATTCTGAAGGAATATAATGTCTTGTAACATTTTGTAAAAATGATATACAACCAAAATGAGAGAAGGAAAAAAAACAGAATAAATTAGACAAAGATAAGAAACAAGTATTTTTCTGGGGGAAAAGAAAATTTGAGAAATCTAATTCAATTGTTTAGTGAGGGGGGGAGGTATTAAATAATAAATAACTGCTTTATTGTAACATACCTCCTAAATGGAACAATAGCATTTTATATATATATATATATATATATATATATATATAAAAAATGTGTGTGTGCATATATATGTAGGTTTTGAAAAACTTTTTCTTTTTTTTTTTGACCATTTTTCTTATTTCTGGGAGAATACAAATACAAATTGTCCTATGTCTTTAACCATCATAAACTGTTATCAATGTTTTATTTTTGTATTGATTGGTTGTGCTGAAATATATACATTATTTTTCTTGGGTAGCTTTTCTGTGTTGTGTGTACGTGTGTGTAAGAGAGAGTACACAAGTGGTGCTGAAAAGTTCTTGACTAACAAACCATCTGATATGATTATTTGGTCAGATTTTTGGAAAATTGATTAGGCTCAGAACTTTTCAGCACTACCCTATGTGGTTAAGTCTAAAGACAAAAAAGCATTTGTTTTTTGTGACAAATATATATTTTTCAATATAATTTCCTTCTTTGTCAGTGCATTTAATTCAGTGTTTCTTTAAAATTTCAGATCAAAATTCATTTATTAACTATACACATGCACACACACAAATTTCAGATCTCTAACGTATGTGAATTACATATAGGCATTTTGTTTGACTTCCTTGGTAAACTTATTTTTCCCCAAAAAAATATTGAACTGTAATCATGAGTTGCTACAGATAAGTGATAGTTAATCTAGATGCAGAAAACTGATGAGACAAATAATTTTTTTCATATTACTTCTGGTTACTGTTATAAGATTGTGTTAAATGTGGATTGGCTAAATGAAAATCTATTTCCCTGGTGCTGAGAACACACCCCTAATTTTGATTTGGTGGGGGGAGGGGGTTATAAAATTTGAAGAAAAAAAAAATGAAAATATAACTTTTGTAGGTTACCAGGGTTATTTCAGGGTGGGAGGGTGATTATGTTTGACACCTGCCATCAAAAAGGTTTATGACCAGTTCATATTGCTTATATATATGTATAAAATATGTGTGTGTGGTTGAGAAGTTATAACATTCGCATACCACCACAAGGCCTGAGTTCAAATCTCACCAAGGTCAATTTGTCAGATGACTTTTATCAGTCTAGAGAGGCAATCTCAGCACATTTGGAAAGTACCTGAAAATCATACCATGTGTTGACCCAAGCCTTGTGAGTGAAATTGGGTGAGCAGGTTTCTTCAGAAACAATCAATGGTTATTAGCATGAAATGACAAGTCATTGTGACAGTTTGAGAGTAATGACTTTGTTTAAATTGCTGATCATGACAGATTATGCACTCTCCCCAAAACTGTAACTAAAGTCCACTCTGTCTAGTTGCATTAGGCTTTGTGGATGTTGAACAAACACAAATGTGCCTGAGTAGATGTGTGATAGAGATTAGCTAGCCACCCTAGCATACGCGTGTACTTGGAAAATGAGAGTAACCAGGTGTGTGTGTGTATATATATATATAAAACAAGTTGCACAAAAACTTCTTCCACTTTGTCATATATCTTTCCCCCAAAATTGTTCTTGAGATATTTTTATCATTAAAATTTTTACCATTGAGATTATTTTGCAAGGACCTGAATAAATGGAAATCCAAGGGAGCAATATCTAGGGAATATAGCGGGTGGGATAACACATCACAGCCAAGCTGCAACAATTTTTGCCAGGTTGCCAAAGAAATGTGAGGTCTGGCACTATCCTAATGGAAAACAATACCTTTCCTGTTCACCAATTCTGGGCATTTTTCTTGAATTGCTGCCTTTTAATTCATCCAGTTGTGAGCAGTACTTTTCAGAATCAATTAACTGTTTACTTGGCTGAAACTCATAGTACAGGATTCCTTTCCAGTCCCACCAGATTCACAGCATGACTTTCTTAGGATGAAGACTTGCTTTTGAGGTGGCTAAAGTTGGTTAATGTCTCTTACCCCAGGATCTTTCTCACTGAACATTGTTGTAGATGATTCATTTCTCATCACCAGTTACAATTTGCTTCAAATAACTTTTCATTGCATTTATACAACAAATCACAAATGAAATATGATCCAAAAGATTCTTTTCACTCAGATCATGTGGTAGCCAAACATTGTAGCGATTTGAATACACAAGGTTCACTAAGTGCTCATGAATGGTGGATTTTGATAAATTTAGTGTTTCTGCTAATTCCTGCATTATGTAATCCAGGTTATTCTCAATAAATGTCTTGATTTGGTTGTCATCTGTAGTGAACCTTCTTCATCAATAAGGCTACAATCACCAATTCTAAACTTAGTGGATGACTTTTGTACAGTTCTGTCAGCTAAAGTATCTTCACCATACACACCACTTTTTTTTGCTTGAAGGCAGTTTTGCCTTTACAGTAAAAAAAAGAAAGCATCAACTGTATAAAATGCACCTTAAAATCTACCATTTTTGTTGGGATACAAAATTGACATGAATTAAGTAATTTTAAGCTTTCTTTCTCAAGAGATAGTTTGAAGTGGGCACTAATCGGAAATGTAAGCATATATCTCTTGATAAATTTGTGTTCTAACATGAATGGCTAAAAATTGTTATAAACTTTCTGGACAACTATAAATATATATGCTTGCCTTAATTCCTGACTATTTAATTTCCTCACCATTTATTCTCTTCATTTTTTTTCTCACTTCATAAGAAAGAACTTGTTAAAAAAAAAAAAAAACTTATCAAATTCAATGCTTAATCATGAAAATTATTTTCACTGTCACCAAAAATGTTGTTCATTCCACAGAAAATGACTAAAGCTAAAGATGAAAGAAGAATTGGTGAACAATTAAAAAATGCTGCATGTTTGTTTTGTTTCAAGCCAATATAATTATTGGTTGTTTTATTTCCATTCTGTTATCACCAGAATTTACTGTGCCATAACATGTGTAATGGTTAAAATGAATAAAATTTTTAATGTATAAATCCTACTTGTAATATCATTGGTTACATCAACAACCTGTTTATTCACAACTGAACAAACTTGGATGTGTGGTGGAATTTTGTTGAATAAGCATTAAAATTGGAAGAAAATCAACTGTACCTGTTAGCTTGTTACTCAAATATTGTACTTTAAAGTGAGTTTTCATGAAGTTTTCTCTTATATAATTTGATTTCTACTTATTTTTATATACATATTTAAATATTATTGCAAATAAGATACTAAAGCTAATTTCATAAAAATGTGATGTAGGTAATTATTATTTGAACAAACATGACATTTTGATACTTGTGTCCATTTGTTTTTCTCAATGTCTAAGTTTGTTTTTCCTTCAGTTTATATCCAATAGCAACTAAATTCTTTTAAAATTCTTAGATGAAATCCTGTGTAACTATGTTTAGTCCATAAAATTAGTTTATAATGAAAAACTTCTGTAGATCTAAATTCCAGACTACCTGAATCTGGGGTTTCCTTATTTACATTATTCAGACTATCGTCCTCATCTTTGTCCCCATATTTATTACAGATGGTTGGAATGTCGAACTGAACCCTTTATTTCGCTCACTGGGGTAGACTGTTCTAGTTCCATGTGTCATGTTTAATCTCCTGTTAATTTCCCTCTGAAAGTTCTTCACTGCCTTAGCCAGGTATTGAACTGACACTCTTTGGGTCCTGTCATTAGATCTAACTAACCCTTTTATCCACCATGCCATGTGTCCTTGAGGAATTTTTGGGTATTATAAACCTAATGTCTTCAGCAACTGATATTTACCAGAGCTCATATTGCAATTCATTGTTGTTATTGTTTTCTCTGGCACTCCTTATTACTGGTTCCCATATTGTATTCATTTCTATGCTTGGTCGACTCAGGAGATTTTTGTGAAATCAGGTTGAGATCATAGACAAAGAACACCATTGGAAAATTCATAAACTTAAGGAATCAGCACATATGCTAGGCCACAAAAATCTCTTATCTTTGTATACTTAATTGTTTTATCAATGCTTTGTGATTTTTAACAATTGAATAACTCTACCCTTTATTCCATTTAATTCTGTTCACTTAGTTTTGCTTGTATGGAGTGCAAAAAGTTGGTTTTGTTCATAAATGTTCTCATGATTATATTGAACTAGATAACCCTGCAGCCCGTTGGGTCACCCTTTGAGAGAAAATTATCATGGGGATAAAAAGATTATCATTAAATTTGTTCCTTTGCAACATATGCTGTCTTCTCTGTATTATGCGCAAAATGGGACGTCTTTCTCTTTCTTTTCCCTCCTTTTCCTTCTTTTTCCCTCTCTTCCCTCTTTTACTTCATCTTCTGACCTTTTTCCTTTTTTTCCCCTACTTAATCCTTATCTCCTTCCCAAATTAGTAAGTTAATAAATTAGGAATAATACTTTAGAATTAGTATTAATAATTATCTTCCATTTTAAAAGTTTTCCCCAACACCCAAACTTGGCCTTATATAATTTATCCAATCATAATTACTGACACAGACTTGTAAATAAGCTGAATTTTTTTGTTTTTCTTTTTCTTTTGTTGCATTCTTTGAATTAAGAATAATACTATATCATTAATATTATTATCTTCCTTTTTAAGTTTTTTTTTTTTTTTTTTTTTTTTTTGAGTTTGCTATAAAATGTTCTATCTTAATACCTCTGGCAAGAGCATGGTGTGTCAGTTACTTAGATTATATACAACATACAAATTCAGAATATTATTATATCTGATATTCTCATATTGATAATTGAATTATCAACAGGAATATTATGTTAATTGATTGATTACCAAAAAGTATGTTTTGCAGTGTTACTTTCTTGTTTGTCTGTAATAGACAAGATTTTCAGGCACTTGATGTGTGTGTGTGTGTGTGTGTTTTCCTCTTTAAGAATGACTAAGCAAGTTTTTTTTGTTTTTTTTTAATTCAAGAGTTTGATAAGGTTATCATTAACAATGAGGTTAACAGAATTCATTCTTTGGGTACTTCAAGGATTTAAATATTGAGACACATTCTCAATTTCTTGGTTGTATGGTAATATTAGACATTTCCCTATAAGGAAACATTTGACATTCATGACAGAGCAACCAGTACTACTTTTGGTTGAAATTTATGAAATCTTTCTCTTAAAATAATTTTTTCAGAAAAATGGTTTTCTCAACTCCAGTAGTTGTTATTATTCTCTCCAGTTTCCTTCCTAACCTTTTATTTGAAGTAGTGTGGAATATCAACATTTTGATTGTGTTATTGTTTTCTCTTTAAGCTGAATGTTCTATCCATTTTACTGGGTCACTAAATTATTAACCTTTTTTCTTTCTTTAAGCTACAGATACTTCCGTCTTTTTTATGCCAATATGCATGCATTTAAATTTATCTTATTGTGTTGTTAAAAACAAACTGTTTGGAATTAAAGATTAATACACTTGGCTTTTTAAAACTTCAAATATCTGATTCTTAATGTACAAAGAAAATGAAATTCTACAAATAATATGTAACCATAGGGAGAAATATGTTCAAATCATCCTAGTAAAAGTTAAGTAGTTCTTTATTTTTTATATTAAGTACTATGAAGATAATTATAAATTCTATTAACTGTCATGAATTATAGCTTCATGCAACAAATATGAATGCAGTTTATGATCTACAATTCTGTGTAATTGATGAAACAAAAGGGGGAAGAATATGTCTGAAGGATGTTGTATCCTTAAAGAGGTTACAAACAGAAAAAGGTGGTTCTCGAGTGAAAGGAACAGCAACACGGGTGTAGGTAAAAGAAAGAGAGGTTTATTGTAAAAGAGAATACACTACTAAAAGACAGGGAATCGGTTAGCAAGCTAGTAATTCCTGAAGGAAATATCTACTGATATAGTCAGTCCACAGTGGCAATAGGGAGTGTGGGACATTCCATTACAACAATGTTGTATAGTTACTTATATCATTTACTCACACTGTTCCTCTCATCTTTGTTATTAACACAATGTTTCAGCTATTATACCCTTCAGCCTTCTTCAGGTGCTTCTTTATCTGAATAACCTTCAAGAAAATTTTAACTGAACCCTTTTAATCTACAAATTAGGTTGTTCTCATTCCACTCTCCATGTCTTGGTGTGACATAGTAACTGTGAGTTTAACCTCTGGGTCAGGCATTATAAACTTAGCTTTAGTGGAAATAGGAGTGAGCAATAACTGAGCTCTATTAAATTAGAATAAGATGAGATATCCCTAGATATAATTAGTTGAACAAGAACAATCGATCTCCATAAATTAAATAAAGGATTTTACCTAAAGAAGGCTGAAGAGCACAATGGTCAGAATGTTGTGATAATAACAGATAGGAGCAATAAATAGTTAAAATATAAATAATAAGGATTCCTCATCCCAGAAATTCAAAGAAAAATTAAAGAATACTTATTAAAATGTATTAACCAAGGGGTTATCAGAATTGATCTTAGCTGTAGGAGAGAAGTCTATAACATTTAAATATATTAAGATAAAAGATCAATATCTTTTATCTTAATATATTTGAAGATTTAAGTGTGTTAATATGGTAACTTGTCTAATCCCAATAATCTTTTATGTGCTGAGTTTTTTCAAGATGTGGTTGGTTTTTATTTAGCAGCATATCAATCTCTATGGTTTATTTAATGCTGAAATGTAAATATTTTTTACGCAATTCTATTTTTTCTTTGGAGATAATATTTAAGTTAAGTTTAATAATAAGTTTCAGTGATACAAAATTAATTAACCAATAGCTGAGGAGAGAGAAGGTGGATTTATACTTTTCCCAAGGGTATTTGCATGTAGGTGAATATAATGAACCTGACTGGAATTGGAACTTGTCTCTCCACTTAACAATTCTGAACCATTATCAATTACACCACCTGCACATCAAATCTTACAGCACCTGGTATTCCAAAGTGGTCACCTATCTTCTATCCCTCTTTGTCTTTATTCACTCAAACATTATAGGTTTAGTTTCTCTTAGCATCTCTTGCTTTCAATATGTCCTGTGAGTGAAATGTTCTCCAAGCTCTCTTTCTTCATTGTGACCCAGAAATTTAATCTGTTTCTTTGATTGTAAATATATGGTTTCTTATTTCAATTTTTCTTAAGATTTCCTTGTAGATCACATTATGTCTATATAATACTTGTTTGATAGAGTAAGATTATATTATGTAAAGATTTATTTATTTGGTGTACTATTGATAAAGGATGTTCGAATTACTCTTTTATTTATATAAATAACCATGGAATTATCAAATATTATGCAAGAATCAATAATAATAGTTCTACTAAATGTTATAATTGTTGTTACTACCATTCTTAAAAACCTTGTTCTTTTTATTTCCAATTGGTGATGCTTAAATTCCTCGATTCTAGCCACCCACGCTTTTAACTTGTTAACCAGTTTATATTTTTAGACATTGGTCTGTTCAAAATCTAAAAGATGTTTCCTCATCTGTTGAAAAGGCATCTAGCTTAGTGTCTTTCTCTCTGGTTGGCTGAAGATATTTTGAGCCAAGGGAAGTGTTTCTGCCAAAACACATCTCCAACCTGCCCAATCCAAACCTGTTGGGGTCAACCTGCTGCGAACACCAACACGTCTGCTCAGGTCCTGACCCTCTTTTACGATGACACAGATTCTCTGTATAGTTTGGACCATCAAGGAGTATTGATATCACAATAATAACCTCCCTAATAGATCCCAAAATGTCCTGGCTTCTAAGCAGACTACTTCTAATTAAGTTTCTTCTTAGGAATTTGATCTTGACTCTCTTGTTTCCTCTCATTGGCTATCTCTTCCCAACCCACTTTGCTTCCCCGCCAACGCTAGAATAATCATTTGGTGTTGTACGAAAATCAGGAAGGAGTCCAATTTCTTGTATAAATCAATAGTTATATTTGAGGTTGTTCGTTGTTTGTTTGGAAGAATATTGGAAAGCCAGCACCTCAAGTCTTCTTGTTGTCTGTCTATTGATTCCTGAGGAGTTAGGGAGGGGCAGAAACTTGAAGTGGTGGAGGAGCACCTTAGGTGTGGTATGTGTGTGGGTATGATTGTAGCCCCTGGCCTTGTTATGGACAAACCTCTGTTGCCATTCCTTTTGCCATCGTGTAAGAATATGTGGCCAAATGAACATATTTGGACATTCTACTTTCTACTTACACCCCCACTTCTTTGTTTAAACTCTTTCCCATATTTAGAAATACCTATTCTACTTTCGTGATTAAATTCAAATGCACTCACTAAGAACAAAGAGCCAAAGTGGATAAACTCAAAAAATTGTTGGACTTTATTATTATTAGTAGTAGTATACTTTCTAAGTCTAGTTAGTTGGGTACTAGAATGTTATATTTATTTATGACTTTGATTTTAAGTTGTTTGTAAGACAAAAGAGAATTATAAATTTAGTGTGTAACATATTAATTCAAAGTTATTAGAATATCTGAACTTAACACAAACTTGTTTCTTTTTCTATGTGTTCTGTTCCTTCAGGAAGTTGGCAATCATTACTTGCCACAATTTCCTGTCCTTTGTAACTCTTAGTATAGTTTGTCTTTTGCTATCTAATTCTTATTCTGTCAATCTTTTATGCAAGATTATGCAATGACTCCCTCTGTCCCTCTTACCATCAATATGTCCTGTGAGTATCAAATTTTCTAAGCTCTCTTTCATCATTATGTGCCTTAGGAGTTTCAACTATTTCTGTAAGAGTATCATTTTTGTTTCCATTTTCTCTAACTTTGTCATTGTTCATATGTTCAGTCCATGGTATTGTCAGCATTGTTCTGTAGGACTACATTTCTATTGTCTTAAGGCGCTTCTTCATCTGAAAGGAGATTGTCCAGCATTCACTGCCATATAGGAGGACTAATATTGCATGAAATTTCAGTACCCTTTTCTTTGTTTCTCACATGATTTTCCTGTTTCTTAATACTGTGCTTAGATTTTGGAAGGCATCTTTTGCTATCCCTATGCACCTTTGGATTTTGATATTGCACTTTTCAACCTGTTAAACACTTCCTAGATAGTTAAATTTTTGTATTTGCTTGATTTTGGTATCTTGAATTTTTAATGTGCATGTGTTCTTTTTGTTAACAACTATACATTGTCTTACACTTGCTGTTTAGTCTTTTCTTGTTTTCCTTTATTGCCTTCTGTAGGAGTTCTTGTATTTTCCTATCTGTGTCTTCTGCATATCTAATGTTAAGATTGTGGCTGCCAATAAAGAATCCTGACAGGACTTCTAATTCTGCTTTATGCAGTTATATTTTATATCTTCATTTTGAGTTTTAAATTTAATTCCAGGCATAAACACAAAATCTAATGAAAAGCATTTTCTTTTGCCATTTTATTTTGTGATAATTTTTCTCACTCTATGCATTAAAGCTAGGAAAAAATTACATGAAAAAAGGGGATGTTTTCTAAATATAATGTCTATACAGAATGATTCCTTTATTAAAAATTAACAAAGTAATAGCCTATTTTGAACAGTGGTTCCATTGCACTGTTCAAAATACTCATCTTTGGATGTCTCATACTTATTCCAGTACTCTTCCATTTTCCAAAAACTCTGGAGTCTACTTTCAGGATCACCATCAGCTATCTTGTCATGTTCCCCTCAATCTTAGTCACATTCTGAAATCTCACTTTCAATGGTAATTTTAGCTTTAGGAAGAAATGCCAGAAGTCATAGGAGCCCAAATCCGGACTTTGTGGAAGCTGACAGACTTGGCTGATTGAATGTTTTTGTCTAAATAATTCTACAGACAAATAGGCAGTTGAGATATTCAAAATGACTGGATAGATTCCAGAAAGTCTATGAAATACCCAGATTTTCTCATTCTTGCATTGTCAACAGCCAATTTCCTCTGCAGTTTACAGGTATTCTACTTGTTTGAAAACCTTTCAGAACATAACCCCACATACACAAGTTCACTGATTACCCATCTTCAAACATGCATAATAATGTTCTTCTCTAATGTCTCTAATGGTTGCTAAGTTAAATCATTGTTGTACAACCAGTTCCCTGGATGTTCAAAATGGCTGCAGACTCTGAACAGTCCTTGTACCATGAGACTATTTTAGGTTTTATAAACAAACATCAATTCCTGAGAAGAAGAATACCTTATCTCGACTTGAAATTTATTTTCTTTCTGTTTGATTCCCTTTCTTCTCTTTTATTTAATTCTTTTTGGTCCCTTTATAAATTAAATGTGAAGGTTTACCTTTATATTCCCACTACTCTTGAAGCCTTTGTCCATTCTAAATTTAACTGTTCCAAAAATATATGCTACCTGACCTTGCTTCCTTGGTGCACTCCCACAGCAAACCAGGAGGATAAAGATTCTATTTTATCCATTAGCTTTTGATTTGAAGTCCCTTATCCTCCTCCTCCTCCTCTTCTTTTTTTTTTTTTTTTCTTTTTTTTTTAATCATTTCACCCCAATCAAGACAATAAAGACACTCAGACACAAGGGTTTACAGAGTACAAGAAACTGAGAAAAAGAAAACATTAAGGAGTGAGAACAATAAAAGAACAGGAATTAAGAAGATAACAATTGATATTGCATTTAAATTTTTTGAAGGTCATAGTTGACTGGAAAGCAAGAAGCTGAAAGAGTGTTCCACAAGCAAAACATGCATGAGAAGAAACTGTTAGTATAGAACTTATTGTAACATCTAGCCATTTCAACTGTAAAATGATGAAACCTTAACATCAATCTAGTAATTCAGTTAAATTCATATAGTGTAGGTATGAAAGCTCAGAATATTGATTATATATTATCAGAAAAACTTTATTAAAAAAGAACTTACTAATTATTACGAAAAATGTGACTTTTATATATTGTAAAACATTTTCTCTTATATTTGATAACTATCCATTTTTGATTGATTAAATGATCATAGTTTGGGTCATAGTGATTGTAAGCTCCATGATTCTTATTAGTTGTATAGTATGTGCTTCACCAGTGCTATATACACTTTTGAATTCAGAGTTGTCCTCCTAGACTAGTTGCCAACCATGACTGAAAATCTAAGCCTGCTCTACTCTTTCATTTATAGGTGGGGGTGGTGGGAGAAGAAAGGGATCCATACCTTTCTCAAGGATATTTGCACAAAAGTGAATATAATGAAACTCAACAGGAATTCGAATTTGGCTCTGTGATTTCTCACTCAGAGAGGAGGAATTGTAGAACCAAATACCCTTGAGAAAGGTATGAATCCATCTCCTCCCCCAGCTATGGGTTAAATAGCAGGACTTGTACCTTCAAAAATCATTGTTATTCTCAAAAAATTATTCTTACAATCCAAAATCTGCTCTGGATTTAAATAAATCCACAAATGGTTGGTAAGCTGTAAAAAAAAAAAAAAAATCAGGGTTTTCACTCTGAGCCAATATTCATTACATCACCTGCATATTTGCTTGATAGTGTGAAGCACTTATTGTGTAAAGATTACTTTTGTAAGTTACTGATAATAAGTTTGTTATTCATTAAATATAGCTTTCTGTGAGTTAGTCTCCACCAACAGATATTTAATCTGTTAAATTCTTAGGTGAATATCATGGTTTGTATCAAATTGTGTGAAATTTAGTAAATATGTGTACATGTTTTGGTTCTCTTCCAAACACTGACTTTAACAAAATGATGCATAAGGTTCAATTTTTAAAAAATTGAACTGTCATCCAAATGCAAATGTTATTAATGTCAATATGTCATCTGTTAATGTAAATCTTTGTTCTTCAACAAGTGAAAATGTGAGAACAAATAAAAACAAATGTGTTTGAAAAGTTCTCTCTCTCTCTCTCTCTCTCTCTCTTCACTTGTGCTTTCATTTTTATCTGATGAAAGTTATGTCTACTGTATTTGATTGCATTTAAGACCACTCTCTTCCCACCAAAAATGACTGCAAAATTATAATTCTTTACAATAACTCCTACAGAAGGTAGTAAAGGAAAATGGAAAGTGGGGATTAAACATCAATTGTAAGAAGACAAAATGTATTGTCAGCAGAATGAACAATTCAGCATGCAAATTACAAATTGGAGATGCCAAAATCAAGCAAGTACAACAATTTAAATAGTGAAAGATGCCTTCTAAAAGATAAACAAAGTATTAAAAACAGGAAAATTCCATTAGAAACAAAGAAAAATATACTGAACTATTACATAATATCAGTTCTCCTATGTGGCAGTGAATGCTGGACAATTTCCTTGCAGATAAAGTAGAGACTTGAAGCAACAGAAATGTTTCTACAGAAGGATACTGTAAACATCTGAGCAATGACAGTTTTAGTGAAAATGAAGACAAAAATAACACTTCTACATAGAATCAGAAAGAAGTCATTGAAATTCCTAAGGCACATAATGAGGAAAAAGGGCTTGCAAAATTTGAAACTCACAGGACAGATTGAAAGTCAGAGGGATAGAGGAATACAAACCATAACCTACCAAACAAGCTTGTGTAAATGGTTGGCAGAACAGGTTTTAGGAGAGATAACAAAAAGACAAAATTTACTAAAAGCTACAAAGGACAGGAAATTGTGGTGAGCCATGATCGCCAGCATTCTGAAGGGACATAGCAGAAAAATGCTTATTCAAGTGCCATACATCATCAGTACCTGGCCCAACTTCATAATACTCTAATATTAAATGTAAATTGCTAGATATACCTTATTTATCATCAATTACACTAGATTAAAACATTAAGAAGTCGTGCAGAAAATTTCTTATCCAAGAATCTCTCCCAAAATAAATTTGATTATTTTCTCAAGTGAATCTGGCCAAGAACTTTTCACCATCCCTGTGTATGTCTGACTACTTAAACCCAAAATTTGAACACATTTCATAATTTAAGCAAACAAAACATTTAATGGTTAAACTTCATTAACCAACTTTACTCAACAGTGGAAATTAAGTTACAGTAAATATTACAGGATTAGTTGTGTTAATAACATTGTCATAAGACTTAAAACTGAAGTCTACACTTGTGTTTACATAATTGGGAAAATGGCCAGGCTTATTTTTCACATTAAAATAACCAGTGCCAAAGTATTTATTCAAGAAGCCTTTTGATATGGGTACAATTTGTTGCCAAGGGAAATTTGAATATTTGGGCTTTGCAGTTTGTCATTTATAAATCTCCCAAATGATTAGTCAGAGACATGAGATGACATTCTTATCCCTTTTGGGAAGGGAAATGAGTATCATTGATTGAAGTGTCTTCAAAATCTACAGATATTTAACTTTCTGTTTTTCTGTCTTCTATTCCCCCCCCCCGTCTGTCTGTCTTCTATTATTCCCCCCACCGTCTGTCTGTCTGTCTCCTATTATTCCCCCCACCGTCTGTCTGTCTGTCTGTCTCCTATTATTCCCCCACCGTCTGTCTGTCTGTCTGTCTCCTATTATTCCCCCCACCGTCTGTCTGTCTGTCTGTCTCCTATTATTCCCCCCACCGTCTGTCTGTCTGTCTGTCTCCTATTATTCCCCCACCGTCTGTCTGTCTGTCTGTCTCCTATTATTCCCCCACCACCGTCTGTCTGTCTATTATTGTCTGTCTGTCTCCTATTATTCCCCCACCGTCTGTCTGTCTCCTATTATTCCCCCACCGTCTGTCTGTCTCCTATTATTCCCCCCACCGTCTGTCTGTCTCCTATTATTCCCCCCACCGTCTGTCTGTCTCCTATTATTCCCCCCACCGTCTGTCTGTCTCCTATTATTCCCCCACCGTCTGTCTGTCTCCTATTATTCCCCCCACCGTCTGTCTGTCTCCTATTATTCCCCCCCACCGTCTGTCTGTCTCCTATTATTCCCCCCACCGTCTGTCTCCTATTATTCCCCCCACCGTCTGTCTCCTATTATTCCCCCCCACCGTCTGTCTCCTATTATTCCCCCACCGTCTGTCTCCTATTATTCCCCCACCGTCTGTCTCCTATTATTCCCCCCATACCCAAGTCTGAGTCTGTCCGTCTTCGTTCCCCCTCCCTCTATGTATTTGTCTTTCTTGTATCCCTCTGTTTGTCTTTCTATTCCCATCCCCTCCATCTCTTTTTTTTTCTTTCTGAACCCCCCCCACCCCTTTCCACCTTCCTCAGTCTCTCTGTCTTCTATTCCCCTCCTCCCCAACTGACTGTCTTCTTTTCCCTTTCCTAACCTACCTGTCTCATGGACATTTTTCGTTCTTTTATTTACAGGAATATTATTACATTACTTTCCACTTTTCTCGGATCAAGTCTCTTAGACTTGGCCATTTACTAAAACATGTTTCCATCTGTTTGCTTTTGTTTTTCTTAATTGTCAATGTCTCTTCAATCTCTCAAGTCTTGGGTTTTCTTTACATTGTATATTTATGCATGTTTAAATGGTAAAATAACAATGTTAATTTCAGGTTTGTGTTCTTTTCTTTTTTCGGACTCTCAATTTATAAATTATCTAAAAGTTATTTTGTGTTTCCTTAATTCTGTATTTTGTTGAACTTTGTTATTTATATGACAATATTGAATTCATGAAGGAATTTAGTTCTTTGGCAAATGGATGTTTGCTGACTAGCTAGATACATTGAAGCAAATTAGTAGAGGCTTTGAAGACAATCTTCTATAGGACTAATGAACCTGTCAAATGTGTACCACTTGACATTAAGTGTTATGAACTTAACTGACTAGCTAGAAGTAGAAAATTAACATCTTTTATCTGGTAGGCCAATATACCATTGCATTATGCAAGGAAGATTCTCAGAGCTTCAAATCTATTAAACCTGACTTATTTACCATATTTATTGATTTCTAAGCTATATTCCATCCACCCCAAATAAAATTTTATAATAATTATACTGCATCCATACTTAGTATTATGGGTGAGGAACTGTACATTTAAGGATTGGTATTATATTTAGAATCAGAAAAATAATTTTTCTCGGGCACACAATGAGGAAAGAGATCTTGAAGGCAAGAGGGACAGCTGAAAGTAGTGAATAGCCTACCTAACAAGTTTGTATAAATGACTGGCAGAACAGGGATTAGAAGAGATAGCAAAAAAGCATTGTGGAAATTGTGGAGAGCTATGATCTGTTCACATCACCTAGAAGATTACTTAGTGGATAGTAGTAGCATAGCAAGCAGATGGTATGTTTTATAATAAAAATTACTAGGAAAAAATAAACTAATCTGATTCTACTACTTTTTAACAGAATCATGGTAGTTACATTATTCTGTGATTAAAATTTTCTTTAACATACAACCAAATACTGAATAAGATGAATTTACTAGAAATATCAAATACTTTTGGTTGCTTTGAATATGCCTCCCTGTGTGAGTTGTCACTCCCACCCAAGAACAGTGCGTAAAACAGAAAGACTGAAATCAGGACAAATATATGGAACTACTTTAACCATGATAAAAAATGGTGACCGAATTAAAGTAATTTTGTAGTTACATTGGTTATCTGTTCATGAGTTATCTTGTAGTTTTATCTATACTATTAACACTACTGCCACACGTAAGAAAGAACTATTTTAAAATCATTAAAAAAAAATCGAAAGGAAGCTAACATAACACAAAATAAACAAAAAAAGTAATGTATTAGCAGCCTGATATCCCCTATTTATTAATAAGATATTCACTCAGTGATTCTGTGTAATTCTCCTGTTGATCATAGTATTTCATTGTTATGAGGATGTGATCAAATGTTGTGACCTTTACAGTTTTTAGTAACATGAATGTCATAAACACAATACCAAACAGAAAGTTCCAACAAATTTAATATATTTCCTATTGATATTGTGTTCTTTTATTAAAGAATTATAGTACAGGGTGCAATGGATAAATTGTCTTCTGAATTACAGGTGTGAGTCACATCATCCCAATAATATTTTTTATAATATTTAAGAAGAAAGAGAAGCTAATAACTCAACCGGAGGGATTTTCTCTGTTTCTCTTCTACATCGTTTGTGTACACAGCCCTTCATTTTTGGCTAATTTGCGTTCAGCAGTAAATGTTTATTTTTGAGAAAGAGAAAGACTGATAGGAATACATGTAATATTAGCAAATTAAGTATAAGGTCAAGTGTAGGTGCTACAGGAGAGTGGGGGAAGAGAATAAATGCTGCTCTTCGCTTTGTGTTTTTTTGGTTTTTTTTCCTTACTGGATTGAGGATTATCATTAATCTGTTATAATGAGATATTTTGCTCTCCTTCTGTGAAAGCACTTTTCACCTATCAAATTTTCATTAAAGCTTTGTTTGAATTTCAAACCAAATTTAAATATTTTCTTCACCTCTTCTGGGACTTTTAAAAGTTGAGAATCAAATTTGTGTGTGTGTATTTAGCATAAAGATAATGAAAAATGAGAAAATTGGCAGTCACTTGCTGAAACCTCCTGTAGAGTGGACTGAACAATTGTAAAGGTTTGTCAATGAAACTTTTGAATCAATGTGCTGAATATAACATCATTCAGCTAAGTGACAAATTTTATTTGTATGAATTTTATTTTATTTATTATATATATATATATATATATATATATATATATATATATATATATATACACACAAACATTAAGCTTTTTCCACTAGCATGGTTTCTACCAATGAAGGTTTCCTCAGGCAGTGAAATGGTCTCCCTTTTTCTATCACACACACACACATATATATATATATATATATATATATCCCATGAAATTTGAAGTTGTTGAAAGGTAAGAAATTAAATACTTGTACTGTGCTGTACATTATGAGCTTTTTGTTAGGTGTACTCCTTCCCACCTTTCATGCAACATCATAAATTGAAATATAAAATGGACTCTCACATCATCTTCAATGTATGAGGGTCCAGCAACTAAGATATTAGATAATAGTGGTGAAGTTTTGTGCAGGACCAAACACAATTTTTTGTAGTATATCATATGGTTTTAAAATAATCTTCATCAGGTTTTGAATGAGTTGTTCTTCTAGACTGGTTGCCAACCAAACCTAAAGAACTTGGTCTGACCTTTTATTTAACCCATAGCCTGGGGAGACAATGTACATCAATAAATCTTTTAATTAATGATCTTGGTAAATTTCTTCAAACCATATTAATACCTTCCTCATATGTACTTTGTAGGTTCTGGCTAATATTTCTAAACCAGCACTTCTATCAGGTTCTAATCTGGTTAAGTAATTTTCCATTCTTTTTTTCACTTAGTATTTTTACTCCCTCACTTAAATTCTTAACTCTCATTACCTCAAGTTACTAAACTACATTTCATGCCTCAATCAGAGCTCGTACGTGAGTAGTAGTAACAAAAAGCTGTTAATTTCTGGGATGAGAAATTTTCATTATTTACACTCAAACTCCTTTTAATTTTAATCATCACAATTCAATCCAAAATTCCCCAAGGATTACCTGGATTGACAAACACCTGATGAAAGCTAGAGTGCACAACAGCCAAAATGTTGCGATAATAATACCAAAGATGTGGACTTTGGTGTAATGTAAATTTAAAAAAAAAAAAAAAAAGAACAAAAAAAAAGCTGTTACTTTCCATAGTCAATGGTTACATGGTCTGTCTAGTATATATGTAAACATACTTAGGTTTGTCAATAAATCTGTTACCTAATGGTAGACAAAGGCATTTATTTGGCTTAATAAATATTTATTTTTTAACATAATCTCCTCCTTTGGCACTGCATTTAACCCAACTCTTTTTCATTGGTGGCATAGATCAAACAGTATACAGTAGAGTTTTCAGATTAAAATTAAGCTAATAACTGTCAGGTTATGGATTATTTATTGATTCATTCTTAAATATGCAAGTTCACAGATATATAATTGCCTGTTAACTGTCTGCTTCAGCAAAGAGCCTTTCATACCCATTTTTGTAATTGCTTCCTCACCACATATAAACCAAGTTATTGTAATAGGGTATGTGGGTAGTATATCTTTTATCGGTGCTGAAAATGAACTTAGCAATCCAAGTTCAAATTAAGGTTAAGTCTTTTACTTATACTTTGGCTTTACACTAATACATTTGGGAAACAAATGAATCTGTTTTAACAATGAGTAAAATAGCAGAGTAGACTGAGCTCTATGTTCTTGGTTGGTGACCAGTTGAAGAGGACAACTTGTCCCAATACAAACTGGCTTGGTTTGGGCTTAACAACTTCACCTTGTAAAACATACTTGTTACTGAAGCTAAAGCAGTATCACTGAGAGTGGTGGTAGTGTTGCAGCCTTATGCCACACCTGAAATTTACAGGCTTGAGGTATTGTAATAATGAACACTAACTTAGCACCTGATACTCTGCAGACAGCTGTTTATTTTTTAATAAACAAATTGACATTTCATTGTAAAAGTGTATAATCTGTAGATATTGATTCTTTTCAAACTGTTTGTTTTTTTTTTTGTTTTTTTGTTTTCATTTAATTTCATTTAATTTATTTTCAAATGTTTTTGGTAATGAAGTAGAAACTGTCTTTGGTCGTGACTTCTTTCAACCAAATGATTTATATAGAATATATATATTAATGTCAGAACTCACCTATTGTTTTTGATATATATGGGCACAGCAATTCAGTTCTTAGAACCAGACTACTCACACATATGATTTGATTATAGTGATGAAGATTTGTGCAGAACCAACCACACTTTGTGGGAGAGCCGAATACAGAGAACTGTTGCACATAGTTCACCACAAGGTCCTTAAACGATCATCCTCAGGGCTTGTATTCAGAGTTGTTTTTCACCTACTAGGTATGGATCCATACCTTTCCCAAAGGTAATAGCATATAATTGAATGTAGCAAGCTTGAGTGGAATTCGAACTCAGCTCTCTGATTTCTCAAACAACAGAATCACTATCCATTACTCAACTATACATTATATATATATATATATATATATATATATATATATATATATATATATATATATATGTCATCCACATACAGGCGTGTTTTGCTGTATCACAGCTCATCAGTTCAGCTAGACATTTGATTGCTTCAAGTCTTGATTGAAACCCAACCGATTTGGCATAAGTTTCAGATTCTACACCTAAGCTATCTGCGTATGGCAGAGGGAAAAGGAAATAATCATTTAACCCCAAGCAAGGCAATAAAGCTACTAAGACACAAGGAGTTACTGACAGTAAAAGAAACAGAGGGGACAGAATTCAAGGAGACAGAAGTTGACATTTAAATTTTTAAAGATCATAGTTGGCAGGAAAGCAGGAAGCTAATGAGTTCTAAAAGTGAGAAATATAAGAGAAGAAACTATTAACATAGAACTTTGGTTACAATTAGCAATTTCAACAACAAAATTGAGACCTAGCTAACAATCTAGTACTTTACTTAAATTTCAAGTTGAGGTACCAATGAGGAAAACTCCTCAGAACAATTATCATGAAAATATATATAAAAGAGATAAAGAGAAGCTACGCTACAGAGGTGAGAAAGAGACTGAAGCAGAGATGCAAGGTCATGACCACTAACTTAGTTGTCCTCATATAAGTACAAAAAAAAATTATTTGGCTAATTTTAAATATTTTTCATTCTAATTTCTTTTCTTTTAAATTGGTCTATTTTTCATTTTCTTGATCATACCAATTGTGGTGTTAGCTAGTTAGTCTAGCAGAACTATGTAATGTGTATGATTCTCACTGGTTGCTCAACAATTATAGTTTTATGTTAAGCTTAATAAATGCCTCTAATACAAATAACTGGCAGTGATGTTTCCATTTCTCGTGTTTTAAGAAAATTGTACTTTTGTATCTGTTAGGGATGACATTTTTTTTTTCTTTTTAATCTAAGACACAAGTATAACCAACTTCTCATCAAATTGGTAAATATGGACAGTGAATTAAAACTAGTTCAGCTCTGACTCATTGAAAATATATGGTAAATATGTAAATATATTTATATATTTACCATATTAAAGATATTTACTATTATATATTTATCATATATTTACCATATTAAAGATATTTACCATTATATATTTACTATATTTAATGTATTAAATATATTTACCATATATAAAATATATGGTAAATATGGAATTAAAAATTAGTATTGCTTTAACTCACAGAAAATGTTTTTATCCCCTGTTATTTCTTTTATATACACAAATTTATGTAAACTTCTCAAAAAAAAATTTTTTTTTTAAACTTTTAAAAATAAAAGCACTCGACTTTATCCCTCCAACTTTTTAATTTCAGAAAAATAATGTAAAAAGCTTTAAAAAAAAAACTTTAGCAAAACCTAATTTTAAAAAATAAAAACTTACCAAAACATGTCACTTTTTTAAAGACCCCAAGAGCTTTGCCATTTAAAAAAAAATAATAAAGTGTTAATGTTTTGTCTGTTATTTTATTTATTTATTTTTTTTCAGAAACATTTACATTTAAGTAAAACTTATTCTCTTAGCTACATTCTTATGTCTTTTCAACATTTTTAGATTATTGCTCACTGTAATGTATCTTAACCACATAACTGTATACCACAAATCTTTAGTACTTGCCAAATCTCTTATCTGCAAAACCAGTACATTGAATTCAGTGAAATATATATATATATATATATATATATATATATATTTTTAATCAAATTTGCCCCATGCAAGGTAGTAAAATCACTAAGACACGATGGATTACTAGGTGTGAAAGAATTAGAAAACAAACATTATTAAAGAGTGAGATCAGTAGAAGAGTAATCAGAAGGACAGTCAATAACAGTTGAAATTGCATTTAAATTTTTGAAGATCAAAGTTGGCTGGAAAGCCTGGCACTGGAAGAGTGATCCATAAGCAAGACGTGTGAGAAATGAAACTGTTAGCATAGAACTTGTGGTTACATCTAGCCAATTCAACTGTAAATTGATGAGACCTTGTTGCCAATTTGATAATTCATAAAATCTAGATACCATAGTGAAGAGCTCATCTGAACAATTACCATGAAAGTATTTATGAAAAGAAACAGGGAAGCAACTTTCTGTCTGTAAGAAAGTGACTGAAGCTGAGATGCCGGGACTAATAATATTGCTGATTCTTCTTGGGATTTTATCAAGGATTTCTAAATATATAGCAGGAGCACCAGACCTGATGTGGCAGCAATATTCGAGGCATTTGGATTTGTTTATTTGAATGTGTCTTCTAAGAGAACAAATATTCTAAAAGTTTTGTTTTTCTTAAAATATAGATAATTTGAAACTTGCTGTAAAGAAATTTTATAAAAGCCCACAAACTAGAAATTCATTATACTTTAAATTTTTAACTACCTTATTTTGAAACATTGAATACCAAAGATGCATGTAAATTTCCATGAGAAAAAAAAAATTGTACCAGAGATATCCACTGTGTTATTACAATTCAAGTCAGAATTCACTTAACCCTGTGCTGAAAAATCAGAGAACCAAAACAAATATTGCTTTCCAAATAGAATGTATATTGAAATCTAAAATACCTCAATTACTTATAATTTTTTTTTTCAATACCTGTCTCTTTATGGAGGGTCTTGAAAATACCTGTCTCTTTATGGAGGGTTTTGAAATTAAGTTAAGCAATTTAGTTTTGATAGCTCAAAATTAAAATTGTGTTTGTGACTTCCTAATATTTGTGTTTGCATCATGAAACAGCTGCAAATGTTGACACTTCTGGAAGTGTATTCCCTACCAAAATGCTACATTTAGTTGCAGATCTAAAGAATCTTCTACTTAGGATTATTGAGAAATGCAACCCAATTTGTTTATTGTTCTGTTGTAACCTATGCACTGGAAGAACCTCAGCCACTATATGTCAAAAGTACTCATTGTTCAGCATCACTCTTTCACCGCAACAGCTATTGTCATAATTTGATGTTGGTTTTTTTCAATGGCATTGACCTCCTTTTTGAAGGACATTAATTTACACTGTGGCTTTAAAAAAAAAAAAAATTAAAAAAAAGTTTATCATGATTATAAAAAGGATATTGTTACATTTGATAACTTAAACCAGTGTTGGAACAAATGATAATGGTGTAATGTATTTTTTTTTTTTTTTTTTTTTTTTTTTTTAAGTCAATAACTCTTTTCTTATGGGGGGGGGACTGATGTTTAGCTATAAGCATTTGATTTTATTTGAAATACAATTTTTTTTTCCTTTTGTTGATAAGCGTAAAGGCAATAAGTAGTACCAAATTTGCATGTTTGATCTTCACATGTAACAGATTTTAACCCACACTGCCAGCAGCAATTTAATTTTTATTCATAACCTTAAATATTCTTTTTTTTTTTTTTTTTTTTTCCTTTTTGTTGACATTAGGGTAACTTTTTTTTTCATTTTGTCATCATTTCTCTTTACACCCACCTACCTGTCTTTGTCACCTCCACTGTCTTTCCCTTTGTCTCATTCTCTGGATGTATTTCTCTCCATTAAGGAAGGAGACCTTCACTGTTGTGAACTCCCTCTTCTGAGTTTTCTGTCATGACTCCTCCACATTGCAGACTTTTATTTATTACTCTCCCACCCACAAATTTGTCAGACCATTACCATAAGGACGTCATGTTGGATTTCAAGTCTGAATAACAATTATAGCTGAGTAGAATGGACCACCTGCTACCTTTCCTCCCATTACCCTACAACCCCACTTTTCTTTCTTTCTCACTCTATTTTCTAACCTCTTTATCACTTGAACAGAAGGTGGATGGGAATGTTGTATGCATCCCCTGTTTTGAAGCATTTTATGAAGAGCCATACTTACATAATGTCAGTCATGGGTTCAACTCTTTCATTTTGTACTTCTGTCTGTCACAACGATATATTGATGAACCGTGCTGAGTCTCTAAACTCTACACTTTAGTGGCCAATTTCTGTAATGGATAGTCTCCATGATTCCATCAACTGCTTTTGTTAATCCTTCCTGAATTGTAAGGACACTATCAAGTCTCTGCATAAATCACACAGCCATCTTAATCGAGTCTATTGCCACTTGTTTCTCTTTTTTCATTTTCTTTTTTCTCCTCACTTACATTTTTTTTTTTTTTTTTTTAATACTTTCTCTTTATCTTTTGGCCTCAACTTTTTTTTCTGCTTTTTCAACTCATGAAGATGCAAAAAGAGAATAAAAGATTTCTGAATCAAGAACAGACTGATATGTGATGAAATTTCTACTCTTTCTCTTCTCTGAGTTTCAGCACATTATTTATTTTTCTGTTTTTCCCTCTGTTTTAGTCACAATATTTTGCTTTTAACATTTTTTTCCATGTGTTTGAACTTACCTCACAGCCCCACTCTTCATTTTTCCACCTCTCCTCACAGCTCCACTCTTCATTTTTCCACCTCTCCTCACAGCTCCACTCTTCATTTTTTCCACCTCTCCTCACAGCTCCACTCTTCATTTTTCCACCTCTCCTCACAGCTCCACTCTTCATTTTTCCACCTCTCCTCACAGCTCCACTCTTCATTTTTCCACCTCTCCTCACAGCTCCACTCTTCATTTTTCCACCTCTCCTCACAGCTCCACTCTTCATTTTTCCACCTCTCCTCACAGCTCCACTCTTCATTTTTCCACCTCTCCTCACAGCTCCACTCTTCATTTTTCCACCTCTCCTCACAGCTCCACTCTTCATTTTTCCACCTCTCCTCACAGCTCCCTCTTCATTTTTCCACCTCTCCTCACAGCTCCACTCTTCATTTTTCCACCTCTCCTCACAGCTCCACTCTTCATTTTTCCACCTCTCCCTCACAGCTCCACTCTTCATTTTTCCACCTCTCCTCACAGCTCCCTCTTCATTTTTCCACCTCTCCTCACAGCTCCACTCTTCATTTTTCCACCTCTCCTCACAGCTCCACTCTTCATTTTTCCACCTCTCCTCACAGCTCCACTCTTCATTTTTTCCACCTCTCCTCACAGCTCCACTCTTCATTTTTCCACCTCTCCTCACAGCTCCACTCTTCATTTTTCCACCTCTCCTCACAGCTCCACTCTTCATTTTTCCACCTCTCCTCACAGCTCCACTCTTCATTTTTCCACCTCTCCTCACAGCTCCACTCTTCATTTTTCCACCTCTCCTCACAGCTCCACTCTTCATTTTTTCCACCTCTCCTCACAGCTCCACTCTTCATTTTTCCACCTCTCCTCACAGCTCCACTCTTCATTTTTCCACCTCTCCTCACAGCTCCACTTCTTTTTTTCCACCTCTCCTCACAGCTCCACTCTTCATTTTTCCACCTCTCCTCACAGCTCCACTCTTCATTTTTCCACCTCTCCTCACAGCTCCACTCTTCATTTTTCCACCTCTCTTCTTACTCACACTTTACCTTCACCTCCCACCTATTAGCCTCTTACCTCTTTTAGGCAAAGTACTAGAGACTCTGATTGGTTAAGCATCTCGCTTTGCAAGCTCTTCTTGCAGATAAGCAATATGTTTTTCACTTCTCTAGATCAACTGTTGATATATTAATGGTTATTATTGAAAGTCTGTCGAGCTTTAAATAAGAATGGTAAAGCAGGTTCTTACTTTGGATATTTGAAATGCATTTGACAGGGTTTGGCATGCTGGTCGTCTCCACAATTTGAAAGGTTATGGCATTTCTGAACAAACTTTTGATCTTATTCACTTGTCAAATCGCAAAATGAAAGTTGTTTGAATGGCTACTCGCCTAGATATTATTGCATTAATGCAGCTGTACCCCAAGGCTCTATTCTTGGACTGATGTTATTCCTAACTGTCATCAATGACCTTCCTGATGTCATCCATTCTCAACTCAGTATCTCTGCTGATGACAAAACTATTTACTCCTGTCTTAATGGTAAGTTTGATGAGGTCAGATTAAGCACCTGATCTTAAAAATGACTTACAATCTGTTACTAACTGGGATAAGAAATGGCTTGTTAATTTTAACATTTCCAAAATAAAACTGCTTTCTTTAAATTGTCTGAAAGAACTTTTAAGCCTTCCATCAGCATGACTAATGCTAACCTTGAGGAGAGTGACTCCTTATGTTTTCTGATAGCATGAAGTAGAAAGATTATATTTAATCAATTGCTAGGTCTGATGCTAGAAAGTTTGTTCATTGTGCTGTGCTTGTGCTAGACAATTTTTCTTACCTGAATCTATCTGAAACATAAGTTTACCATTCATCCGTACATTGAATATTGCTGCCACATCTGGTCTGGTGCTTCTGCTATTTATTTACAGATTCTTTATAAAATACAAAGAAGAATCTGTTATTGGTCCTAACCTGGAATCTCTGTTTCAGTTTCAGTTTCAGTCACTGTACCACTGCCATAATGTAGCTTTCCTGTTCCTTTCTATAAATGTTTTCATGGCAATTGTTCTGATGAATGTTCCTCTTTGGTACCTAGACTTTTTGAATTTAAGTGCAATACTATATTGGCAACAAGGTCTCGTTATTTTACAGTTGAAATGGCTAGTTATAACAGTAAGTTTTATGCTAACAGTTTCTTCCTTCACACTTATCACTTGGGGACCTTTCTTACAGCTTCTTGTTTTCCAATCAACGTTGATCTTCAAAAATTTAAATGCAATGTCAGTTATATTCCTATTCATTTATTGGTCTCTCTCTCTTTAATAATGTTTAATTTTTTTCATATTCTCTTATCCTCAGTAACCCCTTGCATCTTATTGGCTTGATGAAAAAAAAAAAGTTTAGTTGGTTGCTGTTTGTTTGAGGGGAAAGTATTAACAGTTGAACAAACTTGAAAACTTCATTGTCACTTGCTGTGCAAAGATTTTTTTTTCTCATGTTCCTGTATGAAATTTGTTCATTTAAGTCTGCTCAGGAAATCAATAAAATTCATGTAAAAATTAACTGAACTGGAACAATATATTTAATCAAATCAATACTGATATTTTTTATTTATTTTTATTTTTTTTATAAGATTTTGTCTTCATTAAAGTAAGGAGAAGGTTTCTGTATGTCAAAAGATACATAGAAATCAAAAATTTAATTTATATATATAAATTTCATTGAAGACAATTAGCATATAGCACTCTGCATTATTTATAAATATTACTTCCCCTTTTACTGTATATGGCATCCCCTCAAAATATAGTGTTCTATATATTAGTTCTATACATTTGAAATTACAGTAGCCTGGCTTTCATTGTCAGTCAAGATTTTTTTATATGTTGCCATAGTGTTATGGTCCAGTTCCTTGTACCACGGTGATAGTCCAAGGTAGAACCAATAAAGAAGAATACGGATATAGAATAACACAGATATATTACAAACAGGAATATATGCAGAGAAATAGAAAAGTGTTAGTACGAACAATCAGGTTTAGTAGTAATTGTCTGAACCCGACTCTGTTTCAGACTGCCTCTGACTCGCTCGCTCTGACTGACTGACAGACCTCACTTCAGACTGAACAGTATTTTGTCAAACCCCAAATACCCCCACCCACCGATGAGGGCATCATGTGGCACAAGGCCAGTTTAACGTGGGATCTCCATGGGCTCGGCCAAAAATATGCCCTTTGAACTCGTATACATGGGTTCAGGGTTGGTTTACCTCCTCAAAAGAGACTCCACCCTTCGGCGTAGCCTCGTTCAGGTTCCTCCCTGCCCGAAGGCAGAGAGTCCAACTGATCAGCCAGTCAGCTGGCCATCCGACTTCAGACTGAACTCTCTGCTTCCTCTTGAGGTCCAGTATTTATTATGTATGGAATAGTCCATTATGTTATTATGGGTAAGGTCCCATAACATATAGGTTATGACTACACAACCAAGAAATTCAACTGACATTAGCAGAACTAACATTTTGTTTGGCGAAAATAATCACCTACAACATGCTAAAGGCTAACAAGGTGCTGTGATTAGACTTTATTTTTATTTTTTTTTTCGGGGGGGGTGTATATGTGTGTAAGAACTCCTAATGATCTGTGCATCTGAGTGCCGATCTATTAACCATTATCGAGGATGTTTGTTTTTTTTTGTTTTTTTTTTTGCAATAGGAATGTTTTAATTTCCAAACAGTCAGCACATTATGGCTGTGTTCATAATAGTTTGTTTTGTTTTGTTTTTTTTTGTTAACACTGCCATTATTTTTAACAGCTTTCTGCATTTAGATAAGTGTATTATGTTTGTTTTGCTACAAGTATTTTGTGGATAGAGATTGGTAGATATCCGTGTGTATTTAAATGGGCCCTAATAGAACTAGATACAAAGTACGTCTTTTTCATAGGCATGTCTGATGTAATTATTATTTATGAATTTGTTTTCATCAGAAACACAATACCGTAATATATAGATAAATTCATAAATAATGTTGGTTTGAATCCTGCTAGTGAGTTGTTATTGTTGATGAGGTTGGCTGTTTTAACTTTTTTCTTGTATATAATCAACTTTAATCATCTTGTCCTGGCTGACTGGTTCTATATTTCTTAATGTTTCTATGGCCAAATTTGTGTGTGCTGTTAGCTAAGGAGGAAGTGTTGAAATGGTTTCAGCTTAATTCACTTCCCAAAATACAAATAAATGACTAAGTATTAGATTTTTTTTTAAAGCTTCTTGGTTGAGCTCAGAATTTTTCATTGCATATGAGATTTGGAGAAAGAAAATACAATATTATCATTAGATGTCTGAAAACATGACATATCTGCATTTCTTTTTCATTGTGCGAATATTGGAGATAGATATGTATGTATGTGTGTGTGTGTGTGTATATATATATATATATATATATGACCACAGAAATAAATATTTAGATTTAATATCCATTAAGACCTAAATGATAGGAAATTAGGGAAAATTAAATTATTTATTAGTAAAATAATTACCGAATAAAATGTTATATTTTATTTCCTAATTATTTTTACTAATAAATTGTTTTAGTCATCTTCCATAATTAAGTTTCCCTCCTCTTTCTACTATTTAGTTCTTGGAAATACTGTCTTCTGTCTTGTCCCAAATCATGTCAATGAATCCTTCTGAAGAAGGTCGATAAGATTCTTAAGGAAAATTATAATAAGAAAAGAATGTCTAAAGTTCTTTATATATATATATATATATATATATATATATATATATAATCTCAGTGGGGATACTTGCAAAATATCTTAATATACTTCTGATGATTAGATTTACTTTAAATTTGCACAGCTGATGTATTATTAATATTTTATTAGGAAATTAAAAATTACTAAAGAAAATAAATCCTTACTTTCAAACATACATTTACTGAGTTTGGATTCCTTTTGAATTTATTATATAACAATTTTGTGCAAATATATCTGGGGGTGGGGGGAATAAGATTCTATCTCTTCCTCCTCCAGCTATGTGTTAAATGACAGGGACACTGGGCTTTCTAACCATGGTTTGCAACCAAATTAGGTCAAGGAAAACTCTGAATTCAAACCTCAGCCACCTGAAGCAATATAAAGAAGATTAGACATGGGATGCAGATACTACACCTGGAACACAAAAACACAACAGATTTTAACAACTATGGAAAATTCCACGAGAGAGCATTTATCCAAACACCAACAGGCATTTCAATATAATTCCACTAGAATTCTAAGAAGTCTAATAACTTTTAGAACGTTCTTTTCATTAAATATGAACAAAATCCAACTTACCATGTATGAATTAAAGACAGATCCATCTTTGAGCAAAAATGGAAAAAAAATCCTCACAGTAAAAAAAAAAAAAAATCGTGTGAAAGTAATGGGGTGATTGAAGGAACTATGAATGGAGTGATTTATCATTATTTTGGAAACCCAATTTTTCTTCAATGCAACTGGGAATTTGAAGAGGGTTGGATCTTTTAATAAATTAATGATCCCAAGTATATAGCTAAAACAATTGTGAATAGATTTTCAGAACATTTTAGATGTACTTCAGTGACCTGTTTTAATCTTCTGAGTTGAATACAATTGAAAATTTATGGAAAAGATTGAATTTATTAGGACTCCAGTAAAATTAATGATTTGAAGGTCATTTGCAAGAAAGTGTCGGTTAAGATTTCAAGAGTTAATGAAAAACATCTCCAATCGGTCAAGTATTACAAAACTAAGTATTAAAATATAAAATAAATCTATCCCAATACATTTTTGGTGGTTATTTTTGTTTATATTTTATTCTGCATTGTATATTTAAAATTTTTTTAATTGTAAATTTTATATTAAAACACATCACTTGTATAAATTTGAAGTAAAGCATTAGATGTATATTAAATGACTATTTTATAGGTGTCCAAATATTTCTTTTGTATCACTATATATATATATATATATATATATATATATATATAGTGATAGAAAAGAAATTATTACAATGGAAATTATATATATATATATATATTTTTTATATTTTAT